GCTTAGCAGGTTATTGTTGGTTGTTAAGGCTTGTGAGTTGTTTGGAGTTTTGGTGTTTTTGTTTGGATTATTTTGTTTTGATTGAAGCTTGTGGCTTCAGTAGGTTATACTGGTTAAGGCTGCAGGTTTTAGTTGACAGGGTTTGGCCTTGCTGGCTTTGAGGCTTTGATTTCTGTTTGTATCTCTTTGACAGTTTTTAGAGTTTGAATCTTTTTGGATATGGCTTTGGATGTTTAGGCAGATATGAGGCACAGGTTTACTGAGTTTGAACTTGTTTGAAAGCTTCCAGCAGGTTTGTGCTTTTTGACAGGGGTTAATGGCAATGAGCTTGAAAGGGCAGGCTTAGGCTTTGGCTTGACAAGTTTTGTGTTGTTAACTCTTGACAGGTTTTTGATGTTTGGGAGCTTTTTGGTTTAGGCTTTGACAGTTCAGGTTAATGGCTTTGGTTAGTTTATGCTGGTAAAACAGGTTGAAGGTTTTTGGCTTTGGCTTGCTTCTGTCTTGCTTCAGCAGGGTTTTGCCTTTTTCTCAGCAGGTTTGGCCTTTTGTTCTTATGCCTGTAAAACAGGTTAAAGGTTTTGAGACTGGAGGCTTATGCAGGTTTCTTGATGGTTGAGTTTTGTTTTTTTTTTGTTAACTGTTTGATATCTCCTGCCTTTTGACTGTGTTAGCAGTCTTTTATCTTCTATGCCTCTAGCCTAAACCTGCAAGCCCAGAACTCTTTTCTCTCTTCTTTCTCTCTCCAGTACACTTCAAAATAATAAACAATGTTTTATGTGTACTTTTCTGAAAGGGCAACACTTGGGAAATGATGAAATGAACAGCTTGCTTGCATACTAATCTTTCTCTGCATATCTTTTCATATCTTCTTTTGACAGCTTTGCTTCCTTGTGACAGTATCTTGTACTTTTGTATCTTTGATATCTTTGACAGTTTGTGGACAATTTGGAATTTGTGATTCAGTTTGGACTTTGTGGTTAGGCCTAGTTCAGTTTGTTTTGAAATATGCAGTATGTAGTGGTTTGACAATTTTGACTTGTGAATTTCAACTTTGTGCATTCCAAATTAGCAAGCAAATATTCACCCCTCTTTGTGAACCGGGAGAAATCCCGTGATTTGCAAAGAGGGCTAACTGATCCCAGTCAGTTGCCCTTAATGATGAACTTTATTTTTATCTGTCTCTTTAATTGTTTATCTGCTTCTAACTTTTATTCTTTTCTTTTGCAGATAAAAAATGAATGGAGAGGATTTAGCAACAGATGAAGAATTGAAGATTTAGAAAAAATTAGGATAGTCTTTTTTTTAGGTTTAAATTACTGTAAAATCATTGTTGTAAACAATTTGTAAACAAAACAATTGTACAAATAATTTAAAAATAAATAAAAAGTTTTTTATCCAATTAATTCTTTTCCTCTTTTTACTTGTTTACTTTACTATTTATAATTCTTTAAATTAAATAATTGAAAATAAATTCCAACTATTTAATCTTAGAATATAAATAATTAAATAAACAAAGCTTCAGCATTTGATCAATTAAACTTGGTGCTTCCAACATCCAGAGCAAAACAACAGTCAATCACAGCAATTGCCCAGACGTTTTTTCCCTTTACTGATTTTAATCAAACATTGCAAATTCAAACCCAATGCAACCTTTTACTGATTCAGTCAAACAAACGTGAATTCAATCCAAATGCATTCTTTTACTGATTAAGTTAAACAATGCGAATTCAATCTAAATCTCGGAATAACTTGCAAAGCATCGTAGAATTAAATCTTTCTGAGGAACCGCGCACGAAAACCCTAATTCCTGATTAAATGCCAAAGAACGTTCGCCTGATCAAAGTTGAGCCAAAATCAATCAAAACCCTAAGCAAACTGTGAATTGTTCCAGAGCCATGAAAATCAATAAAACCCTAATTGTGTCTGACTGACGAGAAAAGTCTGTTTGACCGATTCTTGAGCCAGTTTGAAAAATCAGGAAACGCCTGAAACTGTGATTTCTTGAGGAAGAATGCGAGGGCAAATTTTGGGGTACAACAGCCATGTTATGTACTCGACCAGATGTCTCATATGCTTTAAGTGCAACGAGTAGGTACCAATTTGATCCCGGTGATGCTCATTGGGTAGCTGTCATGAATATCCTTAAGTACTTGAGAAGGAATAAGGTCTCATTCTTGATATATGGAGGTCAGGAAGAGCTTGTTGTAATTGGATACACTGATGTTAGCTTCCATACAAATAAGGATGACTTTAGATCGCAATCTGGTTATGTGTTTTGCTTAAATAGTGGCGTTGTAAGCTGGAAAAGTTCAAAGCAAGATACAGTTACTGATTCTACAATCGAGGCCAAGTATATTTCTGCCTCAAATGCAACAAAGGAAGGTATTTGGATCAAGAAGTTCATTAGTGAACTTGACATAGTCCCGAGCATTGTGGATCCCATTGATCTTTATTGTGATAACAATGGTGCTATCGCACAAGCTAAGGAGCCTAGATCTCACCAACGATCCAAACACATACTTAGGTGTTATCACCTTATTAGAGAGATAATTGATTGAGGAGATGTAAAGATATGTAGAGTACCTACACTTGACAATGTTGTTGACCCACTAACAAAGCCTCTTGCGCAGCAGAAGTATGATGGCCATACTAGATTTATGGGTATTAGGGGTATGCCTGATTGACTCTAGTGCTAGTGGGAGATTGTTGGTGTAAGCCCTAGAGGCCAATACTTTTAGTACTTGTATAGAATTGTTTATTAATAATAAAAGACATTTCTTTATTATGTTTTCTTTTCCAAAATAATAAAGTCCCTAAAATAGTTTGTCTGTTTAATGAAATGTTAAGTATGACTTAATCATGAGATCCCATTAAACATAAGAACACTATTATTAAAGTATCCGTAGTCGAGCTTTATTGCAAAGTGGGATAACATTAAAACATTGAGATTATTATGAAGATAGACTGATGATCATACCTCATGGATCATGGATAAGGAGTTATCAAGTCTTGACATAGGTATGAATATTAGGAGAAATATTTATATTGGATTGACCCTCTATGAGAATACTACATAGAATGTTATGCAAGGTGTCATAAGTTATTCTCATGGTGATAATGTTGTATACCACCCTTCGACCTGAAACCACTATGGACGCTAGATGTGGAGTTAAATACTTTATTGTTGATCAAACATTATCCGTAACTGGATGACCATAAAGACAGTTGACGAGTACTTCACAAAGCATGCTGAGGGACATGAGCGACCTAGATAAAATTTGTCCATCCTGCATAACAGGATAAATGTCTAAGGGCCCAATATTAAACTGGACAAGGATGACACGGTGTATGCCTTATGTTCAATATAAACATAAGGGTAAAAGGGTAATTATACACACAAATATTATCACAAAAAGGTTTTGTCAGATCACATGACATTTTCGTGACTTGGATAGTAGTGATGTGTTACTAGATACCACTCACTGTTTATTATGTTAAATGTATGATTTAATATAATTGCCAACGCCACGAGAACCTACAGGGTCACACACATAAGGACCAGTTGATGAGAGATATAGTAAATAAGGAACACTGTAAGGTACGGTGTACTTAAGTGAATTGTAGAACACCGTAAGGTACAATACACTTAAGTGAAATATGAAATATGGTAAGGTACCACGCGCTTAAGTGATATGCGGTATATCATAAGGTATGATACCCATAGGCTTAATTGGGCTTTGAGCTTGCAGCCTTAATTGGGATTTTAGCTTGTAACCCACATAAGTGGTTCTATAAATAGAACCCTTGTGATGAAGTATTTTATTTGATGAAATTTCGGTATTGAAACCCTGGCCATATTTTGTCTCACTCTCTCCCTTAAAGTTTTCATTCGTAAGCAGCTAGCACTGTGACCGGAAGCGATCTATTCGTGTGGACTAAGTAGAGACGTTGATATTCATCAACGTTCGTAATCATAACATCAAAGGTCTGAATCACCATAAGAGGTAATGATTTCTATCACTGGCCATGCCCATTCATAAGGATCACTAAAGGAAAATTTTAATTTTCCGCTGCGTTTTGGATCACAATTTTCCTTCAGTAGGAGTGCAATTCTCATATTTTTGGTACATAGTAAAAAGTGAAATGGTAAATTGATTTAAAAACATTGAAGGGTAAAACTGGCATATTTTTTTCCCACAACCTGTATTTTTCCACATGACCAATCAATATCCGTCCACGGGACCAATTAATCTTTCGTTTAGTTTTAAAGAAAAGGAAATTAGAATTCTTATCGAAAATCATATTGATAAATTTGTCAAATATGATGAAGTAAATAATTATGATTCATGGAGAAAATGCACGTGGATCATTGTGACTATCAATGCCAAAGACCCTATGAAGTGTTTGATTTTTGACTGATGTAAAGGTGGTTAGATTTATGTTCATTATAAATATGAAAATTTTGAGATTTTCTATTTTTTTTTTTTGACATTCTTTGTCACTTAGAAATTTTTTGCTCAAAGAAGTTTGCCACTAACAACATATACGACAATAGAGAAAGCCTATTTAAAAAGGAGCGTATCCTATCTACCATATAAGAACCTTCTATTTTCTGGAAAACTATCATTTGCTTCTTCTTCATCTCACCAAAATGAGGGCAATTTGTGTCTAAAAAATACTTTTTCTAAATATTGATGTCATATGGTTCTATTTAAATTACATATTTGTTGTTTTTTGTCTTTAATCATTAGGTTTGAATGATTTGATGATGTCACTTGGTCCAAATTAAACTTGTTTTTCTCTTTTCTCTTTGTAAATTTTACTTTTAATTCAAAATTCAAAAATGAAATAGATGCTTCTCTCTCCGTCCTTTTTCCTCTTTCTCTTTCTCTCTCTCTTCCCTCTCTTCCTTCTTCTCTTTCTCTTCCCTCATCCTCGTATGCTTTCTTTTCTTCCCCCACTTCTTCCGTATTTCATCTCTTCTTCCTTCTCTATCTTCTATGTTTCTTCTTCTCAACAGCATCTTCCATGTTACTCAGAGTTGTTTTCGGCACAATGGAACCGACAACAACGTCATGTTCTTTGGCACGGTGAACCTTCGAGTTTTCGGAAGCTTTACAAGGAAGAGTTCCGGCATAATAGTTTTCTGTCTGCCAATTGCAGCAAGGGTGATAACTGATCGAGTCTTGGGTTATTGTAAGTTTTTTATTTTTAAATTGCTACTTTAGAAGATGCTGCTAAAGGCATTGAAGGCATGGATGGCAAGGTAAGATTTATTCAACCATAATGCTACAGAAAGACAGGGAAATGTATTTCTTTCAGAACATTGTTGTCTTAAATTTGTCTATGCATTTGTATTTTAAGCAAAATATGAATTCAATATCATCACTTAACATAAATTTAATATGCCAACACCAAAACATATACACATGATACTAGAATGTTGAGCTTTAACCGCTTGACATTGCCAACAATGCATTTGTTCTTGAAGCACAACTTTGCATGGACCTTCACCATGATTTTGACAAGTCTGCGGTTATACCAAACGTAAATTGACGCAATGATTGTTCTCTGCTTTTGTTACCTAACTTTCTTTTGGAATAATGTTGACTGGTATGTTTTCCCTGTCAATTTATTATGGCTTAATGTTAATTAATTTTTTTGTTTCGTTGTTAAATAGATGCATTTTAACATTCTTGTCGTGTTCATGCTTTTTACATTTTTATTCAAGGCATCATTTTGTGCAGGATGTTTGTGAGATCTCCCCAGAAAACTTGCCAAATTATGATGATAAGCTATTTCACTGATATATGATGATCGTTGACTGGATTAGTGTTATCGGTGGTAGTGCTGGTGCGTTTGATGTTACAACCAAAGCGATTCTTCACTTTGTAAGCGCTCAACTTTGATGGTTTTAATATTTTCACAAGTCATTTTATTTTACTAGATGACATATCATTTGAATTTGGCTCCTTTGTAGGCATTGGATACATGTGAATATTGGCGTTTGTCATATCAGAAAGGAAAACCCCCGGTGTTCTTGGATGGTGGTCGTCCCGTGTTGTTACTTTTATAGAAAATCGAAATTGAGGCACTTCCATTCGTATCACCACTATTCTCAACTTTTTTTTCTTTGTAATTACATGGAGTTATTTCACTGATATTTTGATAAAGTTTTTCTTTGCAATTGCATGGAGTTATTTCACTGATATTTGAAAAGGCAGTGCTTGAGCCAACATTCTGCCCCATGTAAGTGCAAGTATGCTCTGATCTTCTATCATATAAGAACCTTCTATCCTTTGGAAAACTCTCATTTGCACCTTCTCCATTCTTCTCCACCTCATCCCTTCGAGGAGCATCCAGACCGACAAACCATTGGGCTGACCATGTACTCTCTTTCTGATCCAGGTATGACCAAAAAGAGAGATTGAGAATGAGAGAAAAACTATATTTCGAAACTTGTGAAGCTATTAAAACTGTTAAATGTATAAAACTATATAACTTCATGCCTATTTATAAGCGATCAAGGCTCATGCCCAAAACATACAACCCAAGCCCAAAACATACAAAGTTATATTTTGGCTTCGACACAACTGATATATGTTGTATTTGACTCTGTCGAATACAACTGACTTCTACTAGGTCGAACACACTTATGTTGAATACAATCTTTTCTACAAAACAATGAATTACAACTTCTAACACACCACCTAATTCATGTTTTTGATACTCATCCCAATGTTTTTCTTTAACTCGTCGAACCTGATTTTCTTCAGGGGTTTGATGAGTATATAAGCTAGTTGACATTATGTCTTATAATGTCCAAGTTCAAACTTTCCTTTATTTACTCGATCTCTGAGATAATCATACCTTATTTCTATGTATTTACTTCGAATGACACTTAGGATGATTGACAAGGCCGATAACTGACTTGTTATCTACAAAACAACTTTATTTTTTAGGTTCCATGATCTTGAGTTCTTCTAGCAACATCTATATCCATGCTGCTTGACATGCTACATTCGATGCATCTACATACTCAATTTCACATGATGACAAAGCTACAATACTCTACTTTCTTGAGCTCTAAGATATTTGAGCACTTTCGATCATGAATATGTAGCCTATAATACTCTTCTACTTGTCTTGATCTCTACTAAAATCAGAATCAGTGTAGCCATATACCTCTACATTTGTGCTTATCTTCTTTTGTCTTAGCATCAGTACACCATGATCAATCACACCCTTTATGTATCTTGGCATCATTTTCACTACAATAAGATGACATTCTTGGGGTTTCTCTATGAATTTACTCAATAATTTGATACTTTGACAAATATATGGCCTGGTGTTGCAAGGATACCTCAATAATTTGATATTGTCGACACATACAACCTTTCAGGTCGACACATACTGAAAAATTTCACCTATGTATCGACACATACGTGTTTTAGGTTGACACATGTACTTCATTTTTAAAGTCTGTAAAGCTTCTGTCACTGTGTCGACACATGACTTTGGATAGGTCAACACATATCATTGTATGTGTCGACACCTGACTTATACGTGCATGCTGTAATTTTTCAGAAAATTTATATTTCTTTTCAATTTCCAAACCTCCCTTTTTGCCTCAAACTCGCACATATATAAATACTTCATCCATGCATCATTTCCAACATGTTTCCCTTTTTGCATTATTTTCAACCTCTCATCTACATACACATAAACAAAGTACACATACTCATTCATCGTTTGGGTGCCATCTAGACTTGTGTTGATAAAGTTCAATTTAGGTTGGTGTAACCTAAGACTGGATTGAGAATTTTTAGGGGTTTCATCGGAAAAACTATGAGGGTTTTCCTCTAAGATCATAGTGTTGATTTATGGATTTTGACAAGATTTCACAATTCAGATTGGATCGAGTGTAGAGCTTTGAAGAATATGAGGTTCTTGCAAATGAATAGTGTGAGACAGTGAATTGATTAGAAATCTTGAGTAATAACAATTCACAATTTAGATTCGACCGAGTGAAGGCTTTAAAGAACGATTATTCTTGCAAAGGAGTAGCGCGACACGGTAGATCATATTGGTATTGTTGGGTGACTTGATCAAACTCAGGTCAAGGAAAGAGAAAGTGTTAGAATTAACATCAAACATAGGATTTGTAGGGTGGGATTTCTACATTTCTCTTGTAAATGAATTTTTTCATAGTAAGAATTCTTATCTCAATTCAAAACGAAATTGGAGACAAGTGTAACCATAAAAAGGATGATTAGTGAACTGCCTAAACTCTATCTCTCTCTCTCTCTCTCTCTCTATATATATATATATATATATATATATATATATATATATATATATATATATATATATATATATATATATATATATATATATATATATATATATATATATATATATATATATATATATATATATATATATATATATATATATATATATACGTCCGCACAAAATCACGTGTCCACATAAAGTTGACGCACATAGTTGATGGCTTTAAAGCCCAATAACTATTCTGCACGTGTACAACACGACATTCTCAGTTTTTCAAATTAGACAGTGCAATGTTAATTCTGAATGAGCACTTGGAGGTTAGATGTATGGAGCATTTCAATGACATTATGTCAAACCATCGTCTACAACTTAATATGTCTCGAGTTCGCTGCGAATGCACAAAGAACTAAGGCAAGCCAAACCTTTTTTTTCATGGTAAGGTAGTTTATTATATAATGTTAGGGCAATCAACCATGTTCATAGTTTAGAGCATCATCAATGTGTGTTATTCATGGGAAGAAACATGTGAACCCAAATCCCAAAGGGGAGCAATGAAATATTGTTCTGCAAGAAATTGACCAATAAGGGGTTCAATGATCCCACATAGAAGGACAACCTCCATACAAAATTAGTGTTTGCTAAGCTTAATCGATACATCAAAATGTGGCAGTCATTCTTTATCTAAAAACCACAATACAACTATTGAATGATTGAATAATATTCATTTGGCCTGCTTGGGCAGTACTCATTGACCGATTATATAATATAAATAATACTACTAACAAAAATATTAGTTGGTAACTAATAACAAATTAATCTTAAAATATAAGATAAATAACAGCAAAATACAAATAAAAATAAATAACTCTAATAGAGGAGAGTTTGAGAAAACTCATCCTTTTTTTACATACTTTATTTATATACATTTTTGTCACTAACACGTTTGAAAAAAAAAAGTTCAGTTTAAAAATAATGTTTATCAATGCTTACATAACGAGAAAGTTTCTTAGACCGCACAATGATTTTTTTTTTTTCCACCTTTACCAAATGATGCAAATAATATAACGATGATTGGTGTTTTTTTTTATGTTCAAAGTGACTTATTATACTATAAAACAGGTTATATTTGAAAATCATCCAACGGGGTCCATAGCTCAGTGGTAGAGCATTTGACTGCAGATCAAGAGGTCACCGGTTCGAACCCGGTTGGGCCCTCTGTTTTAAAGTTTTTTTTCTTTCATATTTTTGAGTTTTTATATTCGTGAATCGATTCGTGGCCCTGTTAAATAAATTGTTTTGGTCAGTAACTTCATGTTTTCGTTAATATTCAATATGTTTATCAGTAATTTAATATTTCTCCTAATATTCAATATTTTGATGAGTAACTTCATGTTCCTGTTAATATTCAATATTTTGATTAGTAACTTCATGTCTCCGTAAATACTCAATAGTTTGATCAATAAATTTATTTCTAGTTAATATTCAATATTTTAATTATAAGTTATTGTTTCCTTATATTTTGATCAGTAACTTTTTGTTCTCGTTAATACTTAATATTTTAACAAAGAATTTCATGTTCCTATTAATATTCAATATTTTGATCAGTAAGTTCACGTTCACGTTATTATTCAATATTTTGATCAACAACTTTACGTTTCCGTTAATATTCAATATTTTGATAAGTAACTTCATGCTTCTGTTAACATTCAATATTTTGAACAGTAACTTCATGTTCACGTTAACATTCAATATTTTGATCAGTAATTTCATGTTCTCGTTAATATTCAATATCTTGATTCGTAGCGTCATGTTCTCGTTAATATTCAATATTTTGATCAATAACTTCTTGTTCCCGTTAATATTCAATATTTTGATCAATAATTTCTTGTTCCCGTTAATATTCAATATTTTGATCAGTAACTTCATATTCTCGTTATTATTCAATATTTTGATCAGTAATTTCATGTTCCCGTTCATATTTAATATTTTGATCATTAACTTCATGTTCATGTTAATATTCAATATTTTAATCAGTAACTTCATGCTCCCGTTAATATTCAATATTTTGATCAGTAATTTCATGTTTCCCTTAATATTCAATATTTTGATCAGTAATTTCATGTTCCCGTTAATATTCAATATTTTAATCAGTAACTTCATGTCTACTTAATCTAAATTCAAGGTTGTCATGATGACAACCTTGGATAAAATCCTAAACCTAATTCTTATGAGTATAAATTATATGTAACTATATTTATTAAAATATATATTTTTATTTAAAATAATATTTGGGGTGAAAATTCAAATCAATCAGTAAATATTCAATATTTTAATCAGTCATTTCCTGTTCCCGTTAATATTTAATATTTTAATCAATTATTTTGTGTTCCCGTCGTAACCTCGCTAGCATGTTATAGGTGGCCATATCTAAAGCACAAATATTTAAATCTCAAATCGAGCAAATTTTAAAATTATAGCAAATACTGTGCTTAGTAAGCGATAAGGAAAATGTCAGTCATTATTCACGACCGGACCTCATTACTTACTCAATACAATGATTGAGAGTAGGTATAAAGACGAGAAGCAATGTAGTGGAGGACACTGCATGTTGATCAAAAGGATGGTACCCTTGATAGGATTTTAATCACGAAGGAATATTTTAAAAATGCCTAAAGATTTTAATCAAAGTTGAGAATATCTCTTCACCAAAAGAGAAATCAAAACAATTATTTAGTTATCGTTAATTTGATATTATCCACAAATCATCGTCTAATTATCATCACATGTCCACGATTTTATCACGAGAATTAATTCAATATATTTGTTGAAAAATATTGCTTTCTTAATCATGTAAGTCAATTAAATTTATTTGAGAATTAGTTATATAGTTTATTCTTAATAAAATAAATTTCTATAAAAGACATTTTTTAAAAATTCTCATATATTTTTTCTTATAAATATAGTCAATATTATATGCTAAAAAATTAAATGTAAAGATTTTGCATTAGAAGTGGTGTATTCTATTTTTAAAAAAATATTTTTTACAATACACAATCTCTATTTTGATTCTTTAATAATTTATTTAAGGAAACATTTTTTCAAAAAAAATCCTAATAATAAGCATGTTAGCAAGACCTAATAATGAAAGCTAGATGAATTATTGGTTATTGCAATTTGATGACGGAAGCCAAATCCACCTCACACTTTGATTTTAACATTTATATTTGAATAGCATTTTTAACAGTAGGCACCCAAAAGATTGCAAAGGCCCACTACTCTCATAAATGTGGTGTATACATTGTTTATATAATGTATACATTGCATTAGTTATGAATTATATAATGTATATAAGGTCGCTTACGGAACCTTGTAAACTTCCTCTTCTATAATAGAGCTTACAACTGTAGAATTTCCAATGTTTAGACATGCTTATCATTGAAGTAGTTTGTTCTTCATAATCATACTAAAAAGATGCTATAACAAAAAATGAATTTCAAATGAAAACTCGTGCATAAACAATGTATTCTCCATTGTAATTCGAGAAGTCATGTAGCTGTCATTTGCCTTCAAGTATCCTCATCAAAGAAAGACATGGATCTTCATCGATGCATTGATAACAGACGCAAACAACTTGCTTGAGGTAAAATCTGAGATGACATAAATCATATGAGTTAATATTTAAAAAAAAAACCTAATTATTTTTCATTAATTGAAAAGCAACAAACATTACCTATGCAAATACAGTCACCAAAGGTGCTGACATGAGAATACTAAACCATGATGGAATGATCATGTCCATAACAATTGCAGTGCCTTCAACATAAACATTTTAAATCAGTTTTTTAGATAATGATGTAAAAATAATGACCCTCTTCAAAAAGTGATATACCTCCATAGCCAATGATTTTCCAAGATGAAGAGTACACACGGGTTCAGAAGATTTACCGCTTTTAAACATCTATTATGCAGAGTTTGCTAATATTTTTTCTATGAGTCATCTATAACCTCATATCATTAAAAGTACATTGAATATTGATTGCAATTTTCCTGATACATATTTAAATGGCATTTTCTACCGATATAGATCAGTTACACTTGCATAGGGAGGAAGATGTTTTAGAAGTTGATAAATGTGCCTTTGAAGCCTATATTGTAAGTGAGTAATTTTTTTTGCTTATAAAAATGTTTCACTATTAATACTTGATGTTAACATTATGCTAATGTCTTGAAGTACAGATAAGGAATTAAAGGCTCTGGCTAAAGCTGCAGGCCTTTTACAACTGCTGACTGGTCCTTTGAGCAGATGCAGTGCAATTAACAAATAACGAAAAATATGATATGAACAATAAACTCAACCAATATAGAAAATGCAGCAGAGAAGTTACCTCGGCAACATTGCATTTGAAAATGCAGCAGAGAAGTGTCGGTTCCAAATGCTGCTGCTCTTGTCGTTTTGCGATTACAAACTTCGGCCACTTCATCTTTCATATGTAATTATGATTAATATCCTTTAAACTTACCATTTCCTAAAACCCTTTCAAATATGTAGCGGTGATGGTTGAAGCAACAAACTCCATTTTGAACAAACCATAAAACCCCCCAAATGCAAAATCAAAACCTAAATGATGATAAAATGATTAAAAAAGTTGAGGGGAAGATAAGTGGTACTAAGTAACAGTCACGGTTTGGCTAATGAAGAATTGCATGAACATTCTAAATCCGATGCAATTAAGATACAATTTTTATTTGGGACAGTGAGAGGTTAGTAAAAATAGCATTCAATAAGTATAATGTGTCCAGCTAAAGTACATCCTTAAATGTCATAATTCACAATATGATACCTAAAACCAATTTTGAAAGTCAGAAGCTGCACTGCAAACTGGCTTCAAACAATGAGAATAAAAACAAACTGGCTTCAAACAATGAGAATAAAAACAAAATGCTGTCAAATAGCAGCGATTCAGTGTAGCAATTTGAATAAACCACAATTTAACAAAATACTGTCAAATAGCAACGATTCAGTGTAGCAGAATTTGAATAAACCACGATTGTGATATGTGATGAAGCTTGATTACAAGCCATTTATGTAGAGATGCACCCTATCATTGCACCATTCAAACCAAGTCCACAACATGCACTCTTTGTGTCTTCAAAACCTGTATTCAAAAAACACTTCATAAAATTCCTTCACAAGAATATTTATTAGTTTTATATGATATAAAATGGCATATTGATTGTATAAAGCATACCATAAAACTTTGGTTTGTTAATAATCTCCAATATTCCACTGTATACATCACAGAACACTATATGAGCATCATAAAACTCAACATTAAGCTATATGAACATTAAATTAAAAATACAAGACAGTAAGACAATACATACATATTTCAAAAACCTGCTAAGACAAAAAAAGGAGTTTCATGACCATCAAAAGAATATAAACATTGTAAAATCATAGGAATTTGGTTGACAATATGAAATAGTATTTTGCTTATACTTCCTTTATTAAAAGACGCTGCAGAATCTAAGAGTCCGTCGTCATGTTCCATTGGTTCCTTCTAGATATACGAGAAATTCCCAGAATCAGGGTGAAAACCACATCTTGTAATTCAATCAAAGATCAGAAAAATATTAAAGTAATTGAAATTGTGAATCATTTTTATGCTGATTAGAGTGTATCAAGTTTGAATTTACCCGAGCTTTCATCGAGACTACTGGAAGAAAATGAAACTTCTAAAAAAGATCTGGGAATGAGATGATTATCATTGCAAGAGGTTCCTAACAATCTTTCTTGTTTGGTTCCACACTAATAAGAAAATAAACCAAATCTAACATCAGGTATAAATAATAGTTATAATTCAAACATTCCACAAATCATAGAGGATAAATTTTGATCACAGTAGACTTTCCACTTCCACTTTGACCCACCAAAGCAGTAGTTATGCCACTTGGAACAAACAATGAAAATCCAACAAATATCTTCACGTCCGGCCTCGCAGGGTATCTGAAGTAAACATCTTTGAGTTCAATATCTCCCTTTATGTCCTCCAAGATTTCACCACTTGTGTCATATGCATCAATTTTCGGCTTTCTTTTAATCGTCTCAAACATTTTATACGCGGCTACTTGTTCTATAGTAAATGCATCTATGCATGGAGATTTCTGACCCAATGACCTGTAAATGACTGAAATCTTATGCTCATTGAAGGTATATAAAATTATCATGTCTAAAAGTTTATCGTTTTCGAATACAAATTTCACACTTACATTCCACCAGTCATAAGAGCTATGATTACACTCATAACAGTTCCACCAGTATATCCTTTCTCAAGGACTAACATGGAACCATACCACATTGCAAGTCCATAGGTGCTAAACACAATCAATGAAAATAACCCCATTCTAAATCCTGTCGCAGTTCCTTGTTGAATCATACTCGTATAAGCAACTTTTAACTTACTATTGTACTTTTCTATTGCCTTTTTCTCCCCGGTAAAAGACGCAACCTGGTCAATTTTACAAAACAAATGTCAGATACATCATAGTTTGATTGCAGGTAGTAAACTTGAACTAAACTGTTATAACTACGCATTGATGCGAGTGTCTTACTGTTGTGATGGCTCTGATGGTTTGATCAACAACATTTCCTACTTCTGTATAAGCAGCTTGTCCACGTGTTGATATCGATTTGACATTAGAGATATTGGGAAAATATAAAATGATCAATAAGATAAAATGATTAAGAAATGAATCAAGCAAAAAACATATGCACAATATGAGAACAATAAATAATGAGGATGTCTATGACAGAAATTAAAATGTGTTTCTGCGTAATTGAAGAGGTAGATTGCATTTGTGTACCATGTAATGCTTAAATAACATTCCTAGAAAAGAATTGAGTCGTGTCATTAGAACTCCATCACCTATTCCCAATAAAGCAGCCAAAAAGAGTATATATAAAGTATCGAGAAATCCGTTAGATATGCTGCATCAGAAGCGCCCGAGAAAATGTAGGCTAAATTAAATTACATGTGGAAAATAATATCCATAAACATCATCCAAACATAAAGAATATTGAGAACCTGAAATTTAGCAGATTTTATTCTGTAGAACAGAGGTCAATCGTTCAAAACCCATCCCAGTGTCAACATGCTTTGCAGGCTAGGATTTAAGAGAGCAATCGGCCTCCCTATTGAATTGTGATGAGACAAACAAAATCATATCAGATACAATTTCATGGAGATAGGAAAAGTTTGCATGTTGATTGTAGTACCGCCTTAACAAAAATTTATACAGCATGATCCCCACGTCAGAGAAAAACATGGCAAAAATAGAGGAAAGTAAAATCCCTCACAGCGAATCGTTTTGCATAATAATTACCAAAAATTAAAAACAAAAATTCATTACCTTGAGCAGATGACCTTGGATCTTGCTCGATAGTTGAATTACTGTATAGCTACAGAAAATTAATCAGAAAATCTAATCCTGACGAGTGGGTGTCTTGTTCGTCGTTTGCATTTCAACTCCCACCACCACCAGCCAACGAAAATGCCCGCCGCTAAGAAATAACAATCGACAGAAGATGATGAAGAAAAGGGGAAAGATAGAAGATGATGAATAAGGATTTGAGAAAAGAATAGGAATCAGAAAGATTTGGAATATTGCAACGGAAATATTTGAGAAGGAAATAGGAATAAGAAAGATGAAAAATAGGGATTTGAGATTGTAACCGTCAAGACCACGTAGAGGAAAAAAAATAAAAACTATAGTGGAAAATTGAAATGAAATAGATTGAAATAAGTAAATAAATAAGTCTGGCTTATAAGCAGGCCAGTTTTTGGAACAAAATGATAAAATAGGGAGTTTGGGTAGAATGAGTTTTCTTATATTATAGATTTCAAAGTGCAGATACAAATATTAGATATTTTTATATTATTATGTTTTGATGATTGAAAGTTGGTGTAGAATTGATTTACATTAAGTGTTTAAAGTAATTTCTTGTGTCGAAACAATTTGCTCGACATAGACAAGGGAGTGCCTGTAGCGGTAGAAATGTTGAGACCAAGCCATTAGATTGACTTGACTCGTACAGATCAAAATAAAAATCGTCATTGCGCTTTATTGTTTTCAAAGGAATGAGAAAAGAGTGAATAACCCAAAAAGAGGGGGAGAGAAACTAAGTTCGGGGGTTGGTTATGCATGGGGAAGGTATTAGCACCCTAAACATCTACGATACTTGTAACACCCCGATTTTACCCGACAATTGTATATACAAATCAGAGTCATAAAATTCATGCAACTAAATTCGGATGCCACAAATTCAACTTTAAAAACACATTGCATTCAACGTGGATACATAACACTTTAAAACTTCGAATGAACTATCAGCATAATAATTTAATCTCTTAATTCAACAACTTGAACAACTACGCAGCAGAATCTTAATAACATCTTTGTCCAACAATTACAGCAACTTTAAAATAATGCATACTTAGCAACAAACAAATTAAAGTTCAACAACTGAAATAATCAATAACTAAAAGCAACAAGCATTCATTCCCCCGAGTGTTACGTATCAGAGCAATACCATCGACTCGAACTACTGAAGGTAAACCATCTTCACTCTGGATTACCTGCACGTTACCAACATAAGGGTACCATTCAAACAGAAGGAGTGAGATATCTAACAATATAATAAAACGTATGATAAATAATATATTAAATTAGATCACATGACATCACCACTTCTCATCGTATAAACAACAATAATCACAACAGAATACCAACAATATACACATTTACCGCATCAATATACAACTTTTTTATGTAATCGTATAACGTGACTCAATACTATGCAAATGCATGTGGTACCATTGGAGCAGAACTCCCATCTCAAATAATTTCCAATAAATAGAGGCATCAACAAGGCATAAACCTTCATCTTAATATTCGCCAATACAGGCCATCTCAACGAGCATCATCTCCATCTTGAAATGCAATGTATGCGACACAATCATGAATGTAATAACAATAACCATAATTAACAACATCTCAACACAACATCATCGTTGGCCAGAAGACTACATCTTAATAGCTTCCAATTATTAGAGGCATCTCAACATCATTCATCAACATCATTTATCAACATAATTCATCAATGTAATTCATCTACATAATTCATCAATGTAATTTCACAACAACTCAGCCATAACAACAATACAACGATAGATCAACAATCCTCCAACGTTGGCCATAGGCCTACAACATGATAATGCTTATAACTAATTAATCATCTAAGGCTTACCTCTAATTTACAAAACCTCTGCCTATTACTATTCTGTAATACTACATCATTATCATCATTAATCTTACTGTTATGAACCAACCAATAATCTATAATCGTCTTATCCTCATCATACTTCACAAAATCATCATAGTGATTTACACGGGAAACTAACTCTAATCCTAATTAGGTTACTAGGATTATTCTTATTATACTTCATTTTAATACTTAAGAATGAAGTTCATCACGTTATCTATTCAACGCTTCAAACGACACCTCAATCGGAGTCCGGAAACTCAAGTTACAGCCTTCAGAAACAAATCTGTCAAAAATCAGACTACATGAGTCGACGCATAACGTTTTGAGTCGACGCGTACTGGGTTATGATTCCTGCATGAGTTGACGCGTAATCCCTTTGTATCGACTCATACCGAGTCTGCAACACCGCATGTATCGATGCATGCTTCTTCGTATCGACTCATCCTGAGTCCAAAAACCTGCATGTATCGACACATGGCTTTTGAGGTCGACGCATACTGTTCTATCATGAATATTTTCTGCGATTTCACTATATTTTCACTATGGTTTCCCTGCCTTAGGCCCTAAAAACATCCTCTAATCATAAGTAATCATTAATTATAATAATCCTATGTTTCTACATCAATTATACAAAATTAGGGCATCATTATTCATCTCTATATCATTGATCTTCATCAAACAACAATATATACATTCCAATCATAAACAAGACAACTTTTCACATCTAATCCCACATACTACTCATCATAAACCTTATTATAGAGTCAGAACCCCACCCTTATCTTGGATTGAAGGCCGCTCTACGACTTTTCCGATTGAATTCCGTTCTGCCTCTTTTCCTTCTTTTCTGCAACTTTCACGTTCTCTTCTCTTCTTCCAACCCTTATTTCCTTCTCTTCTTACGGCTTCTTCTTTTTCCTTATTATTTCTAAAAACTAGTATAATAACCCTATAATTCTTGTTATATCTTAATGGGCTTAAAACTCCTACACCCCCCTTCCACTACTTCTATTCTTTAAAATAAGCCCACATCAATTATTATCATTCTAATATTATTCCACAACTTAATAGAATAAATAAATCTAATAACAATAACACATCAACTATCACCATAACACGACTTCACAAATATTCCAAAAATAATTTAATTAAATAATTAATTAAATTACGGGCGTTACAGTACTCCGTAGGAACCTCTTTGAAAATCTGTATATTTTGGTTATAAATGTTGTATACAAAAATAGATTGCGGGGATGAGAAAAGAAGTATTTTTTATAATTTTTTCACCTGCCGCGGTTTTGAACCTTTAGTGTCTACGTACCACCTTCCGTGCAATAGGGGATCGGGGTACTCGTAGTTCACCTTTAAAAAAGTTTAAAACACACGTGTGTTGGTTATTTTTAAGAGATAAGACATCATCATCGTATCCGAGTGGAAAACATACTTACTACCCACGATTATGAGAAAGGAGAATTCACGCCATCTCAAAGTGAAGGATATAGATTAGATTTTAAAATCAACAAAGCCTCACTCAACACCCAAGTGGAAAATATCTCATTTCACTACATATCGTAGAAGCATAGTAGCTCGCATCACTACAAGGATTAACAAGAGTCTAATCTTTTGAGAAAAGTAATAAGGTAAAAAGCCAAAGTGGAAAAATGGTTTGAATGAGATTGATTGACTTTTAGTCTTCTCACAAAAATGTCAAAATATTATTAAATTGTTTAAAGTTTGATTAAGAAAATATTTTTGAAAATGCATGGACCTAAGTCCAAGTTTATTACGAAAGCGGTTCAAGTTTAAAAACAAGAACAATTTTCAAAAGGAGGGAGAAGATTTTTGAAATTAAAGAAGATGGGAGGAGATGAAGGGACTATCCTAAAAGCATAAGGTAAAAGCTAGGGAAAAGAACCGTCTAACAAACAAGAAGCAAACACTTGACACAATGAGTCAATGTAGAATTCCCATCCTTTGGATTTGAAACCAAACAAGCAAATATAATAAACCTCTTAATAAAACCAAGCTTCAATTGCATTAAGTATTCACAAAAATTAGGCAGAGTAACAGTTGTATACAGATGAATTCTCGATCACAGACAAAACATGTAATCATAATAATCTGCACACAAAGAAAATAAACAACCCAATGTCTTGGAGTAAACCCCAAGAGATCCAAACAAAATAATAGTTGAGGTCACAAGGTCTCAAGGTAGTTCAAGGTCTCTAATCCTAAGTCCAAGAAGTCCATCACTCCATAATGCCAAGGATAGTAACCAAATAGTTCAAGTAACATTAAAGTTTTTTATGGTTCAAGTTGATTATTAGATATCTTCAAAATGAAATGAGAGGCTCAAGTGAGCGAAATAAAAATGATAAAAAAAGTAAATTCTCAAATGAACAAAGATGAAAATAGCATGAAATGTAAATGCTAAAATAAATGTGCTTAAAGTAAAGAGCATAAAGTAAAGGCACAAAATAAAGTCAATTGTCAGAAATTAGAGGTTAGCTAAATGACCATCTTGAAACTTGCATTTGAAAGTCATTATAAGATTGATAAAATCAAAGCCTATCAACAACAAGTTTCATTTACTTTTTGTCAAGTATATCATTTATTTAAAATTCTCAAGGAAACCATAAATGATCAACGATGTTTAAGCGATTCACTTTGACCAAAGCTTATGAAGATTCATTAGAGGATTGATAAGACCAAAGCCTCCTAACAATGAATCTCAAGGTTATTGGATCAAAGGATTCAAATTAACATACTTGGGCTTACAAACATGGATTTGGGCCACGAATGATCATTTCTCGAATCAGGACAAAATTTAGCGTTATGTTAAGCAATCGTAAGTGGACTTATATAAAAGCCGCACCTATTTTGAGGTCGGTCAATAGTAATTTATGTGTCATATGTTTGGAGAGATGATACATATATCATCCTCTAATCAACATGTGACACAATAAGAAGAGGATAAGATGAAGAGGGAAAGGATAATATTTGAAATAAAAAATTTAATCAAACTATCATTAAATTCATTCATCCATTTTGGTGGAGCTAAACTCAACACCCAAGATCCAATGATGTTAATGAAGTCCATGATCAAAAGTCAAGATACTCGGAATATGTACAAAAATAAAATAGTATTTAAAATAAAAGAAAAAAAGTGTTTTTTAAATGGTTTTTTAATAAGGAAATAAGGGAAAAAATAGCAAATATATTCTAAACACTCAAGAAAAATTAAGTGAGACCATAGAAAAATCGGAAATGAACTCAAATATTTTTGTGAATTTTTTGGTAATTTTTTAAAGTCAGAAACTATTTTTAAACTAATTTAAATTGCTCAAATAAGTGAAAAAAAGATCAAAAATAGTAAAAGTCAGAATAAAATTCTAAAAAAATTCAGAAAGTCAGAAACAATGAAAATGATTTTTATAAAAAGTTTCAGAATTTAAAAATGTCAGAAAGTATTTTTTAAACAATTAAAATAAAGCAAACAAATAAAAAATTATGAAAAATATCAAATCTTAAAATAAAAATATGAAAAAATATTCACAAAGTCATAAATAATTCAAAGTATTTTTGTATATATTTTTTATAATTTTTGGATAAAAAATAAAAGAGTGATGAATTTTTGAAATTTAAACAAATTTTATAAAAATAAATAAATCATAAATAATGTGAGGCGTTGGATCCAATTTACTAAAACATGCTGGCACATCAAGTGGCTCAGAAACGAAGATGTATGGTGATCCCTGGTCAACAAACGCACACTGAAGTCACGAAAGTCAGGTCAATCAAAATATTTCAATTGTCACACTTTCATTGGTTGAAGAGGCTACGTAGGTCATCTTAAACCTCCAACTACCCTGCAACTAGGCTAAAATTTCAATCCTTAAATCTGTAAATTTAGATGCCCATAGTGGTATCATTAGACGCGTCTCTTCAAGACGATCACAATTATATCTTCGCGCCAAATTTATATAAAACACAGTTTACTTGACTGGAAAAAAACCCAGAGATGTTTCGAAAAATTTGAAATCGAAAACAGAAGTATCAAACACGTTTATTCACCAAAATTGAGTTAATAACAAGCATCAGTGAACATCATAGACCATTCTAGTAATTTGAGTTAGAAGATTTGATGCCTTAAACTACCTGAATGAAGTCAGATGAAGTTGCTCTGTAAATGGACTTGGCTAGTACGATTCCGGGAACCTCAAGGCTTGATTCTTATTTTGTTAGCTTCAGGGAAGTTCAAGGATGAA